ATTTGCAATAGTAAAACAAATATTAGAAAATGAAATAAAATACTTGAATCACTCCTGACATAATAAGTTAATAATAATTTATAATTAATTATAAGCAGTTTATTTAGAACATTTTTGTGTACGTCTTGAATTTTGTTGCACATTTGTAACGCGCCATATTCATATGGACTTTATATCGTTTGGCTGACTAATTTCATCCAATCAAGAATTATGGCTTTGTAATTTACATTTTGCAACCTTGTGCTGTAAGTGTGGCTAATAGTTTAATTATATTTCCGTAATGTTCCATTCATATGAACAGTTGAGACGTAAACAACAATAATCCAATCAGTTTTTGTGATCGCAACTTCGTTTGAATAAGCACACATTTACGATACCCTATAATGTCGGCAGTCTAAATTGCGTTAATTTCATTATGTTCGCACACATAAATGCCAAGTCTATGCGAACACACACACACGCACACAAAGTCGGGGGCGATTATAAAACCATAAAAATACAAACACAATGCGAATGACATCAATAATGACATTGAATTTGGTAGCTGTTGCTGTTGGTGTTGTGTTAATGTGTTCTGCGCTACAGCCTTGGGCAGGGCATGCTGCCTTTTAGACCAAGCTCGTAACACTTGGGGCTTGCACTTGATCAGCATGCGGATAAACAGTTAATTGTGACTAGTTATTAAATTATTTTATGATACTTTTAAGTAACAAGATTTTATTATGACAAGATTAACAATGTTGGTGTTGGAAAATACACGTTTCAAGCTTTTGAAAGAAACGTTTTGTGTGAAATTTCGAAAGTTAACAGACACAAACAAGATAAAGCAGAATATTCTATACTCTACCCGTGTACTCACAAAAGGTAGTTGAGATTGGAAACTGCGCAGAACTCATCAAACTTCAATTTGTGCATATGCATAGTCATATATAAAAGGGTATTCGTGTTTCGACTTGCCCAAAATGAGCAGGTTTCATTAGGTTATTTTGTGTTTTTCTGTACTCGTGCCACCCTCTTAGTTGGGCATTTTGTTTTATACTTTTATACGGCATATGCTTGCGCCCGCTGCTTTATTTATTGTGTGTTTATATGCGCCGCAATTGAGGCAAAGATATATATCAATATATATAATAATAGGGCTGGGCGTGGCGGGCGAGGGGGCGGCAGTTGTGGGGCTTCGATAGGTGTTACGTATGCGACATGTTGCACAAAGGAATGCCTGAAATCACATCACATTCACAAGCGACGAGTGACGCGTTTGCCCACACGTAAGCAGAGCAGAATGTCATGTGAAATGCCGAGAAAGTCAACCAACTATTTCGATAAAGAAATTATATTAAATTGAATGCGAACAGCATAGCGGCAATAGCGGCAACAGCGGCAACAGCAGCAGCCAAACATGTCCAGCTGTTGACGTCCATTGCCGGAGACAAGAACAACAAACAATACGAAAATAAATAAATAAATTAGCAGCCGCCAACAGCCAGATTCGAGCTGAATTCAAATTTAAAACTCTTGGCCAGGCCAAATAAGATTGACGACAGCGACACGTTGATTAATTAATCTGATGCCTGGCTGACATCTCAGGCGTCCAAATGGCGCGCATCCCATAGACAGTTTTGCAAATGCTCGTGTATCCGTCAGATACACAGATATACAGATACACAGATACAAACGCACTGCGTTTGCATAATGCGCGACACAGGAAGTGTTGCGTTTTGTTTAGACCGCATTAAGCACGCCCACGCTGCGCCTCAGCTCCAGCTATTCAATTGTCATATCAAAATTAAGTGTGTGTATGTGTGTGTGTGTGTGTGTGTGTGTGCGTGTGTGCGTATGAAATCAAATCCCATATAGCATGACATCAAACAATTCCACAGTTGCTGCTGTCCATTCGCAGCATACACATTTAATTTGGTTGACTTTTATAAATCGCTACATATCGCACAATGTTTGAAAATTAAGAAACCAAAATGAAAATACACAAATATATATTATATATATAAAATAGAGAAAATATAAGCTTGAGCAGTTTTCTGTTTATCAGAATGCGCCTGGTTTTGATATGAAACAAGAAAAAAAGGCCAACAGCAGCAACAGAAATAAAAGCAGCCTGTTTATTTTTGTAAATCTCTGTTCATTATCGCTTGTGCGTGTGTGTGTGTGTGTGTGTGTGTGTGTGTGTGTGTTTGTGCCACGTTTTTGCGTAAAGGCAGCGATTAGCCTTAATGCCCCCAAATCCATTTTCAGCACGACTAGAATACACAAACATATATAAACAGGTAACCATGTGTGTGTGTGTGTGTGTGTGTGTGTGTGTAGGTATTTATATAGATTTTTAGCCATGCACAAATTGACTTGTCTAACGCTTATTAGCGGCCTTTGACCTTTTTGTGTCATCGCCAGTCGCTTAATTAATGTGCCAAACAATTAATTGCAAACCAGCAACACCAACAACAACAACAACAACAATAACAATTTGTTGTGGCCAACGATCGTCTATCTCTTTAGATTCATTGATATGGCATGAATGTTTATGGCCAACGGGGCGTATTAAATTTACGACCGTGCATTAAAATGTTGCAACAAAATGGCCGCCAGCCGCCAGCCGCCAGCCGCTGGCCCGCTAGCCAACACTGGCGGGGCCAAATAAAAAACAAAAGGTTCAACACTCGAATTATAATAAACGTCGTCTTCTCAACGGCAATAAATAATAGACAGCAACGAAATAGGTATAACTTTTTACATCGAACTCGTTGATATGCCCAGTCAACAGACAGAGACAGCAATAGTCGACGACGACGGCGGCGGCGGCAAAAGCGAGCTGGAAGTGAAAGGGAGGGCACGAGGCAGCAAGAACAAGTGAGATATGGCCAGATAGACAGAGATAGACAATTACAATAAGGCACAGACCCATCGCGAATAAGCCAAGCACTAAATTACGTGCACAGTGGGCCATTTAGGCAAAGAATCTCAATAAACAGTGCTGCAAAACGGTGTTAAATTCATCGGTTCGGAGCAGCATTTCATTTAACGAGAGATAAACATTTTTCGGGTGGAACCCTTTTTGAAAATATTAATTTTGAAATCTAACATCCTGTTGGTTAATTTGATATTTTTATATATTAATTTTGATATATATTTATTTTTTATTCTTCCATACAATTACTTATATTTATTTTCCTCATTTTTCTTTTACTATTCAAATTAAGAACTCTGATAATAATTTGTTTGGATTTCACATTCCTGTTTTGTTATTGTTGCACTTTCAGCGAATGTTTATCGGCTGTGAACCACTGTAATTCGCCTCGAACCGCGACCGCTGTTGCTGTACTTTTGTCATATGGAAAATCATATTGTGCTATGTATATGGATGATGTATTTGCCTTTTTTTATGTTTTTATGCTTAAAAATGCAGTCAGCTAAAGAGCAACACTTCCACACACACACATATATATATATATATGTATATACAGTTACAATGTAATACCTGACATGAGCAGCAAGCAGCAACAACAACAACAACAACAACACTTCGCCTGCTCTGACAGTGAATGAAGCAATGCAGACAGTCTGACAGACAGAGGAGCGACAGGGAGACAGAGGAGAGACAGTGTGAGCAAAGCTGTGTTGGCTGGTGAGAGTTGATGCTGATGCCAACAGCAAATGGCTCATAGCTTTTCCTTAACGCTGATCGATTGCAAATAGGTCTAGGGATCTAAACGCCCCTTTGGCCTCAGTTGAGCTGGGCTCGAGTCGGAGCTGCAGTCGGCAGTTTCTCAGCCATTGCGCATTGGCCCTTAACTTCATTATGGCAATGGCGATCGTCATTATATATATATATATGTATATATACGGTTCGTGATCATCAGGTCGATAATTGATTGCCACATAATTTATGTCATTTCATGTGCGTGCCGTTTGCAAAATATGAAATGCGGCGATGCGCAGCGAATCTGGCAACCATTCGCACTTGCAGTCGCCGCTGCAGTCGCCGCTGCAGTTGCAGTTGCAGTTGCAGTTGCAGTCGTCGCGACGTACAACAGTAAAAATAAAAATCGTTGCTGTTAATAGGTTTCGTACTATTGTTATAATGCGTAGACTCCACCTCCCCATGACGCAGATCCAAGCACGACTTCAGCTTTTAACTTGAGCCTCACAATGTTTGTTATGTTAATGAACTTTGGGACCCTGTCGAGCACAGGCACAGGCGAATCTCGCTGCATATGCCGCACACACATCTCCACTCTCTCTCTCTCTCTCTCTCTCTCTCTCTCTCTCTCTCTCTCTCTCTCTCTCTGTCTGCCTCTCTCTGTGTCCAAGTCAGCCAAACTTTCATCATTAAAGAAAATTATAGCCAAGTTTCTGTAATGCAGACGGACGAGACTGACGTTGACGACGACGACGACGACGACGACTCTGGCAGCGACTGAGGCACGGTCCTAGCCTCTGAGGCGGGCGAACGTTGCACACACAAAAAGTGTTTATGGCCAGAAATCCGTCAACATATTAACACTAAATTTTAAAACGTACAAGCGTGTTTATGCATATTGGTATATACATATATATCTACTCATGTATGCACACACACAAACAAACGTCTGACCCACGACGAGTCCAAAGCCGGATCCCATGGCTTGCATTTTGATATGCACAGCATATGTTTTGCTTGGCTATTATTCGTCGCATTCTTGGGCTGGCGAATGAGACAAGTCTACACATCATTTTAATCAGTCGCTTAAGCTGAATGCAATTTGTGAAAATTAATACGATAATCCTTTCGCATTATTCATCACAATTGGATTTAAAATGCGTATCAAATCTTTTGTTAGTTAGTTTTTTGCAATCATTTAAAGCTTTTTAGAAATATGTGAACTTTGATTTCGTAATAAGACTCGTTGGGACTGCGAGTTTCATTATAGGTAAATCGAATCCTGTGGCTAATTTTTCCCCCTAAAGTTACCAGTTCTTTTTATTAAAATATGTTTCTATCTTTTCAGATTAACGGACTCGGGAACTCCGATCGATTCTAAGAACTGGTTCGAACTATATTTAGTACTTTTCTTAATAATCTGTCATTTTGTTGATTTCAGCCAAATCTGCAGGGCTCAAGGACAAAAACAAATCAATTATTAGATGCAAATAAATGCAACTGGAAAATACTTCAATCCATTTTGATTCTGTAAGGATATCGCCGAGCTAAGGCTATCTTCTCTCCTTAGAGTGCTCATCTCTTTTATGGCTAGTTTTACTCGAATATGCATTTATCCTGGCAGATTGAAGGCTTAAAGGAGTCGAATCGTTGTTAAGGACCTTTACGACTTTAACCAAGTCAGGTTAGTACTGTACTTAAGCCAGATTTAGACAATTTTAAATTAATGTTTCTTTTTGTTCTTTCAGCGAAATCTACTGCGCCCAAGGACAACAAATTAATATTGTTAGATGACCGCATATTATTTTAATCAATGCAGATCAATCCAGCTGGAAAATACCCAAATACACATTTCGATTTTGTAAGGATATGCCCGAGCTATTGCTATCTTCTCTCCTTATGGCCAGTTTTACTCAAATATGTACTTATCCTTTCAGATTGAAGGCTTAAAGGTGTCGAATCGTTGTTAAGGACCTCTACGACACCAACAAAGTCAGGTATGGACTGTATTTAAGCTAGATATAGACGTTTTAAATAAATTTTCCTTTTTGTTCTTTTTAGGCAAATCAGCTGCACACAAGGACAACGAATGTGTAGATATATTCTTAGATGACCGCAAAAAGTTTAGTTGCAGATCGATGCAGCTGGTAATTACAATTCTAACACATCAAGATTTTTTAAAATCTGCAAGGATATGACCGAGCTATAGCAATTTTTCTAAAAAGGATATCAATATAAAACTGGTCATAGCTTGGGCATTGCCAGGACTAGGTGTATGCCTATCTGCCAGAAAAGAGTCTTTGTCCTGCTCATTCAAAATATTTAGTCGAAAGGACGAAAGTCCTTCAAGCAGCCAAGATATAAGGACATTTGTTTTTTACTTCAATAATGCTATAACTCAATCATATCCTTGCGGATCCTTACAAGTCCTGTACCGAGCAATGCGCCTGGAAAAGGACCATAAAAGGCCAAAGGACACCCAAATCGTCCGAGTGGTTTCAGAAATATGGCTACTTTTCTATAAAGGACATTTTATTTTTTGTCATATCTCGGCCAAATCCTTAAGGATATCAAAAGGATATACCTCTTTGAACTCGTCAGGAGCAGTACTATCGATTGGCATTCAAAGATTTCCATGATTCGACAAAAAATGTTACCTCAAATTTTCCTAGGGGTTTGGTCGCAAAAATGAAAATAACCGAAAAATTCCGAGCTAACTTTGCCATTTGAAGTACGATCGGGATGTCCTTTGGACAGTAGATAGTCCTTGCCCTCCCAGTCCGGCGTATCCTGTCGGGACATGTGTCAAAAAAATTTTATTGACCAGGACTACCAACTGGCCAAAGGACATCAAGATCGTCCTTGTAGTTTCGGAAATATGGCGATTTTACTGTAATTTTGCGATTTCGGCCAATTTTTGTTCGCCCCGCGACTGAAATTTTTACCAAGTCCATGATTCTTAGATGACCCCCCAATCTTTGGATGCAGATCGATGCAGTTGGTCTCCACGATCCCAACGCACCATGTCCTTTGAAAATCTGCAAGGCTATGGCCGAGTTATGACTATTTTCCTTTCTTAAGGAACTCATCTGTTTTATGACTTTTTTTACTAAAATACGCTCTTATCTTCACAGATTGAAGGATTTATGGACTCCAATGGATTCTAAGGACCTCTACAGCTCCAACAAGGATATCCCGACAAGGATCGGAAGGATATTTAGCCAAATATAGCTATTTTAAGTAAAAATAAGAAATTCATTAAGAAAACAACAAATTTGTTTATTTTAATAAAAAATGTATTAAAAAAATAACAAATTCCTGTTTTTTTTATTCAAAAAGGATATTTAGCTGCCAAAAAGCGAAAAATGAACGGTCGTAAAAAATGCATTGCATACGTTAGGGGGCGGCCGTTAGCAGCCGAGATTTTTCAAAAATTCACCAAAATACCAGGCGAACAGAAATGACTAGCAGGTAGATGCACAGAAAATTTCCGCGGAGATATGTCGTTTCAAAACGACATAATCCCACATAACCATTATCATGGCGGAGTTATGTCGTTTTAAAACGACATATCTCCGCGGAAATTTTCTGCTTTAAAAACAACATTTTTACAAGAAATTTAGCAAAAATACCAGGCGAACAGAAATCACTAGCAGGTAGATGCACAGAAAATTTCCGCGGAGATATGTCGTTTCAAAACGACATAACTCCGCCATGATAATGGTTATGTGGGATTATGTCGTTTAGAAACGACATATCTCCGCCGCTCTAAAAACAACATTTTTACAAGAAATTTTGCAAAAATACCAGGCGAACAGAAATGACTAGCAGGTAGATGCACAGAAAATTTCCGCGGAGATATGTCGTTTCAAAACGACATAACTCCGCCATGATAATGGTTATGTGGGATTATGTCGTTTTGAAACGACATATCTCCGCCGCTCTAAAAACAACATTTTTACAATAAATTTAGCAAAAATACCAGGCGAACAGAAATCACTAGCAGGTAGATGCACAGAAAATTTCCGCGGAGATATGTCGTTTCAAAACGACATAACTCCGCCATGATAATGGTTATGTGGGATTATGTCGTTTTGAAACGACATATCTCCGCCGCTTTAAAAACAACATTTTTACAAGAAATTTAGCAAAAATACCAGGCGAACAGAAATCACTAGCAGGTAGATGCACAGAAAATTTCCGCGGAGATATGTCGTTTCGAAACGACATAATCCCACATAACCATTATCATGGCGGAGTTATGTCGTTTTGAAACGACATATCTCCGCGGAAATTTTCTGTGCATCTACCTGCTAGTGATTTCTGTTCGCCTGGTATTTTTGCTAAATTTCTTATAAAAATGTTGTTTTTAAAGCGGCGGAGATATGTCGTTTCAAAACGACATAATCCCACATAACCATTATCATGGCGGAGTTATGTCGTTTTGAAACGACATATCTCCGCCGCTTTAAAAACAACATTTTTACAAGAAATTTAGCAAAAATACCAGGCGAACAGAAATCACTAGCAGGTAGATGCACAGAAAATTTCCGCGGAGATATGTCGTTTCAAAACGACATAATCCCACATAACCATTATCATGGCGGAGTTATGTCGTTTTGAAACGACATATCTCCGCGGAAATTTTCTGTGCATCTACCTGCTAGTGATTTCTGTTCGCCTGGTATTTTTGCTAAATTTCTTGTAAAAATGTTGTTTTTAAAGCGGCGGAGATATGTCGTTTCAAAACGACATAATCCCACATAACCATTATCATGGCGGAGTTATGTCGTTTTGAAACGACATATCTCCGCGGAAATTTTCTGTGCATCTACCTGCTAGTGATTTCTGTTCGCCTGGTATTTTTGCTAAATTTATTGTAAAAATGTTGTTTTTAGAGCGGCGGAGATATGTCGTTTCAAAACGACATAATCCCACATAACCATTATCATGGCGGAGTTATGTCGTTTTGAAACGACATATCTCCGCGGAAATTTTCTGTGCATCTACCTGCTAGTCATTTCTGTTCGCCTGGTATTTTTGCAAAATTTCTTGTAAAAATGTTGTTTTTAGAGCGGCGGAGATATGTCGTTTCTAAACGACATAATCCCACATAACCATTATCATGGCGGAGTTATGTCGTTTTGAAACGACATATCTCCGCGGAAATTTTCTGTGCATCTACCTGCTAGTGATTTCTGTTCGCCTGGTATTTTTGCTAAATTTCTTGTAAAAATGTTGTTTTTAAAGCGGCGGAGATATGTCGTTTCAAAACGACATAATCCCACATAACCATTATCATGGCGGAGTTATGTCGTTTTAAAACGACATATCTCCGCGGAAATTTTCTGTGCATCTACCTGCTAGTCATTTCTGTTCGCCTGGTATTTTGGTGAATTTTTGAAAAATCTCGGCTGCTAACGGCCGCCCCCTAACGTATGCAATGCATTTTTTACGACCGTTCATTTTTCCCTTTTTGGCAGCTAAATATCCTTTTTGAATAAAAAAAACAGGAATTTGTTATTTTTTTAATACATTTTTTATTAAAATAAACAAATTTGTTGTTTTCTTAATGAATTTCTTATTTTTACTTAAAATAGCTATATTTGGCTAAATATCCTTCCGATCCTTGTCGGGATATCCTTGTTGGAGCTGTAGAGGTCCTTAGAATCCATTGGAGTCCATAAATCCTTCAATCTGTGAAGATAAGAGCGTATTTTAGTAAAAAAAGTCATAAAACAGATGAGTTCCTTAAGAAAGGAAAATAGTCATAACTCGGCCATAGCCTTGCAGATTTTCAAAGGACATGGTGCGTTGGGATCGTGGAGACCAACTGCATCGATCTGCATCCAAAGATTGGGGGGTCATCTAAGAATCATGGACTTGGTAAAAATTTCAGTCGCGGGGCGAACAAAAATTGGCCGAAATCGCAAAATTACAGTAAAATCGCCATATTTCCGAAACTACAAGGACGATCTTGATGTCCTTTGGCCAGTTGGTAGTCCTGGTCAATAAAATTTTTTTGACACATGTCCCGACAGGATACGCCGGACTGGGAGGGCAAGGACTATCTACTGTCCAAAGGACATCCCGATCGTACTTCAAATGGCAAAGTTAGCTCGGAATTTTTCGGTTATTTTCATTTTTGCGACCAAACCCCTAGGAAAATTTGAGGTAACATTTTTTGTCGAATCATGGAAATCTTTGAATGCCAATCGATAGTACTGCTCCTGACGAGTTCAAAGAGGTATATCCTTTTGATATCCTTAAGGATTCGGCCGAGATATGACAAAAAATAAAATGTCCTTTATAGAAAAGTAGCCATATTTCTGAAACCACTCGGACGATTTGGGTGTCCTTTGGCCTTTTATGGTCCTTTTCCAGGCGCATTGCTCGGTACAGGACTTGTAAGGATCCGCAAGGATATGATTGAGTTATAGCATTATTGAAGTAAAAAACAAATGTCCTTATATCTTGGCTGCTTGAAGGACTTTCGTCCTTTCGACTAAATATTTTGAATGAGCAGGACAAAGACTCTTTTCTGGCAGATAGGCATACACCTAGTCCTGGCAATGCCCAAGCTATGACCAGTTTTATATTGATATCCTTTTTAGAAAAATTGCTATAGCTCGGTCATATCCTTGCAGATTTTAAAAAATCTTGATGTGTTAGAATTGTAATTACCAGCTGCATCGATCTGCAACTAAACTTTTTGCGGTCATCTAAGAATATATCTACACATTCGTTGTCCTTGTGTGCAGCTGATTTGCCTAAAAAGAACAAAAAGGAAAATTTAGAGATGAGCACTCTAAGGAGAGAAGATAGCCATAGCTCGGCGATATCCTTACAGAATCAAAATGGATTGGGGTATTTTCCAGCTGCATTGATCTGCATTAAAACAATATGCGGTCATCTAACAATATTAATTTGTTGTCCTTGGGCGCAGTAGATTTGGCTGAAAGAACAAAAAGAAACATTAATTTAAAGTTGTCTACATCTAGATTAAGTACAGTCCTAACCTGACTTTGTTAAAGTCGTAGAGGTCCTTGTATCCTTCAATCTGAAAGCGTATTTTAATAAAAGAAACAATAAAAGATATAAGTACATTAGGGTTGGAAAGTAGGCATAACTCGGCCATGTCCTTGCAGATTTTGAAAGGACAGCAAAATATCCTTGATGTCATGGAAACTATAAGGACAGCCCCTGTGTCCATTCAATCTGATTTATACAGGACTTATAAGGATCTGCAAGGATACATCTAACTTATGGCATTTTTAATGCTATAAAACTCACGTCCCAATTAGTAGGCTGCTGCAAGTCAAAGCAAGTCCTGATAGTCCTGGCAATGTCCAAGTTATGGCAACTTTTATATTGATATCCTTTTTCGAAAAATATCCATAGTTTGGCCACATCCTTGTAGATTTTTTAAGAAGCATGCTGTCTAAGGATAATCACCAGCTGAATCGATCTTCAATTAATATTGATTGGTTTTTGTCCTTGGATACTGCACATTTGGCTAAAAGAAACAAAATTAATTTATAAAATACTCTATCTGGCTTAAATACAATCTGAACCTGAACCCTTTGTTGGATTTTTAGATGTACTTAGAATAAATTGGAGTCCTTGAATCCTTCAATCTGAAAATATAAAAATATATTTGAATAAGACAATCTATAAAATATATTGAGGAAAGATATATCCATGATTTATTTATTAATAGGAGACATGATTTTCCTTGCCTGGGAAATGTCTTACATCAAAATCGTATTCATTAGCAGTTAATCATTGTTGATCTTGAAGTGTCCGTAAAGAATTTCTTGATAATCGAGTAATTCACCTCGTGCTCATTTAGGGTACGACTTACAAAGCATATTGAATTCCTGATCGCGATTTATAGTTTTATTAAGCTTAAGCTGGAAAGTATCGAATTTTCTCGATCTTCCCTGGGTTTCCATTCTGAAGAATCTATGTAAGGCTCTTGCTTTTATTGAAAGCATAATAAAATGAAATGTGCCTCAAGTTGAGATAAATGTGGTTTGTGGAGTGCTCGCACAACGAGCCCTGGGCAAACAGGTCATTCAATCAGCTAGCCTCATAAATTCATTAGAGTCAAGGCAATTAATAACTGCGCTAATAATATCTATTTAGCACCCACTCTTGTTGGCGTCCTTGTTACCCCCCCACCCGCCAGCCCGATCATAGCTGCAGCGATCACTTGACACCCGCACAGCCTCCCTTTTGCGGAGTGCGTGGGGGAAATGGAGGAGGGGGTGTGCCGATGAAATGATTATTGAAAACATTGTTGTGGCCGCAAAGTCGGAGCACTCTTGAGGGTCTGTTGGGGGATGGGGACCAGAGCCAACTGGCTGGATAGTTAGATGGCTGCATTTTTATTTTGCTTCCGCTGTGGCAGCGATGAAAGATGCCGAAATACTTAAACGATTTTTAATAATTTTATGAGTTTTCCGCGAAGATGTACGCATAAAATACAACAAATGAAGAGCAAAAGCAACGTTATACGCCCTTCATGATTTACAGACTAGCAGCAGCAGCAGAAGACGAGGACGAGGACGAGGACGAGGACGAGGAGGATGCCTATGCTTGGGACTGGGACTGGAACTGGAATTGGGGCTGACCTGGTATCTTGCTCAGTAGGATCGATGACGTTGCACATTGGTTCTGACTGTGACGAACAGGCAACCAAATAATAGTCTCTTATATTAAACAAAGTTTTAGAAATAAGCTATTCTGATTAATGACACAAACAAGATAAGCATATGCCAACTATAAGATATCCTAACTCACATTGTGATTTACACAAGCACAAAAATTTTGATTTTAGTGGTTCTTCCTTTCCTTCCTAATATATTATATATACTTATATTATTTACTATTGTCAATAAATAATTTATAATAAAGATTACTTAACTTATCGAAATCGTATTTAAATTCCTCATTAAAATTCTGCGACATTATTTGGGAGTGTTTTCTGCATAGCTCGTGCCACTGTGCGAAACTGAAATGTTTTCATTTTGATCTCTTTACGCTGCGTTGGTGTTCGGGGTCTTTGCTGATGCCACGGTTCTGGTTCTGGTTCTGGCTGCCTCACATACATTTATTTACATGCACACACACACATTAATGCATGTGGGCTGGTGTGTGTGTGTATGTGTGTGTGTGTGTTTGCGGAGCGTCGCATTGAGTTTTTTCATCTTTTGCAACAAGTTTACAGCTTGTTGCGCATCGGCTGTGATTTGCAGCGTTTAATAGGCGCACTTCAAATGCTTCGCTGTGTCTGTGCGGCTGCGGCTCCCGCTGCAAATGATTTCTCTGAATTGCTTTATTATAAGTGCCACACGTGGGCGCGCATACAGCTGCCGCCTTGTCTCCCTTCCCAGCCTACCACCTACCGCCCCTTCGCTGACTCTTCAGACCCGGCTCTGATTCAGATTGGCATGTTGAGGCGGACTGAGTCTGAGCGCGTCGCGGCGCGATGCAGCCCCCGGGCTTAAATAAATTTTATAGTCACACGATAAAGAATCGTAGACTCTGGACAGTGTTGGGCCACCTTTTGGGTGGCCGGGGGCGCGTATCAATTCCTTGTTTATTACTAATTGAATTTGCTGCTGCCTGCTGCCCGATTCAACAAAAGGTGAAATCAATTGACCAGCTCGACAGACAGGTGTGAAAATTGAAAAACCTGTAAAAACTGAAGCGACAAGTTCCGAGAGCTGACACTGAGCTTAGCTCACAGAGCGGTCACTCGATTTCCGCTTTAGCCCGGCTTTCCCACGCTGCCTTTGACTGCATTTTGGACGCCGCCGACGCTGACGATTGTTGGGCAATTAATTAGCACTGCGTGAAATTATTGGACGACAGCGAGTGTACGAGGTGTGTGCATAGCAATTACCCCAGCTCGCTGGTTAAATTGTTGCCCTGGGAAAATACGTGAAAAAGCCCAGCGCTAAGCACGCCCACGTTTAAGGCGCTCAGCTATTTTGAGCTATGGCCCGTCCGTCCGATTTGGTTTAGCCGAGAAACACATTAAACTGTGCACAGTTTTCAGTGCTGTCCAATCACAATAAAATGCCGCCCAACCGACAATTACGCCGCACATTTTTATGCCCGCCAAAGCTGTGCAAATTCCCACATTGCCCGAGGCCCTTGTGGGTGCTGCTGCACATCGACCACACAGCAGGGTTGGCCATTTAATTAGCTAACTCAATTAAAAGAGCGTAAAAATGCAATTGAGTCTTGAGCCCTGCAGATAGGGCATCAGGTGTTGTGGCTATTAAGCAATCGGGCGGTGCTGCTTGAATTCTAAGCCATTGCTAATTGTGGCTAATTTATTGGGCACACCTCGCCATTATTTTGGGTGTGGCACGTGTGTACTATATATATATATATATATATATATACTCAATTGTCTGGCGTCGACAACAAATTACAATACAAATTTCGTTTTGATACGAAAACGCCAATAGCTCACCTGGCAATGAAACGGCCATCCGATTGGCTAGCGAGCGCCAGATAAAATAATCGAAGAGAGAGTGTGTGAGCGAGCGAGCGAGCAGGGCGCGCAGCAGCAGCAGAGCCAGCGCCAGCGCATAGCCGTGTGCGGAAGCAGGCGAGAGATAGAGAGAGAGAGAGAGAGAGAGAGAGAGAGCGTCTAGGCATTGGTAACGGTGACGGTGGAGAGGCAAGCGGAGAGAACAGACACAGACCAAGGCACGCGCGAGCGAGAGCGTGCGCATAAAAATTGAATTTGGAATTGAAATTATAAATGGAAATGCTGGAAATGAAACGAGCGACAGCGTTGATAACACGAATGTATACGTATAAATATATATATATATATATATATGTGTGTGTGTGTGTGTGTGTGGATATTCATTTGTCTGCATGCGTGTATTTATGTACATGCCAAGTCCGTTTATGTGGCGACTTGACTCGTAATACGAGTAGCTTAGATGCTCGCGAGCATTAAACAAATGTAAAGCCCGATGGCGATGCGCCAATCAGAAGCTTGCAAACCGAAAGCTGCGCTGCGGCAGCAGCTAAGCAGAGCGCATGTATCGCAATGCATTATTGATAGCGACGAGTGCCGAACGTGCCGCAAAACTAATCAAATTTATTAAGTCGAGCAAACAGCTTGTGCCCCACCCAAAAAGAAAAATAAAAAAAAAAAGTAAATCCCAATTGGTTTTTGTACTTGAATTGTAGTGTAAATTGTTGCAACAACAATGCCAACATGTCAACACTTCTTTCAGTCCGCCTCCTCCAGCTCCTCCTCCGCCTCCTTCTCCGGCGACTTCCCTAGTTAAGCCTATTAAATGCTCGAAACGCTTTGTTGTACCGGTCTTCTTCACGGCACTTGCTATTTGCCCGCCTGTTTAGTCTGTTTATTTGTTTGTCTTTTGTGTTTGTCTCTTTATTTGTAATAAATATGTTTGGCCCCCACGGCAAGAGCCGGGGGCAGAGGGGTAGAGTGGCGTGCAAGTTATTAATTTCACCGACTTTGTCTGCGACTTTTCTTGCGCTTATCAGGTTACATAATTGTCCTGTTATAATGTCCGTATTGCTATCTTCGGCTCCCCCATTTTATGGGGTGTAATTATCGCGCACATCGTCGCATTGCTTTGTAGGGTTTCAGTCTTCAGCTATTACATGTTACAGAATTATCAATAAGCATTAGCGCTGTCCGCGTGTCACGCACACAGCACGGACCTGAGCACGAGCACGAAATTGTACGATGAATGCATGAATATGAATTTCAAAAGAATCTTTTGAAGGTTGTTTTTTCCTTATGACCAAAAACCAATTCGCTAACCTGGCTTAAGTCTTGGTTCGTAAGTTTTCACCCCAAACATCTAACACGGTTCGCTTTGAACCAAGGTACACTCAGACAGATGTTAAGGCAAAATCTTGGTTCAAGTTGTGGTTCGTCGTGTTTAACAAATTGCAGATTTTGGCTTCAAAGCTTCGTTTTTGATGAGATGCATTTCTTATTGATTTATAGTCCAATGTTTTAAAGTTGAGAAATTGCCTGTCCTGTAACTCGTGACACGTGCTCCGCTCTAGCAAGGACACACGCGAACAAGTGCCAAGCACTAAAAGTAAGGCCAGAACCGTCCACAGTTAAGCCACTGGTCAATCTGTGGGAGGGTTGTGTGTGTGTGTTGGGAGTGGGGGAGGGGGGTTTATATCTGGTATCATGTGGTACGTTTCGTTTTCATTTTCTTGCGCCCGTTGTAATTGAGTAATTTCCACTTGAATTTCCCCTTTCAATGTGTATTTTCTTTGTGACTTTGTGTGGATTTCAACAGATTGGCGTTGTGTATAGGAAAAGGACTCGAACTTGGGGGGCGGCCCAGCTAGGTCTGGCAAACGCCTGGGTGTCCTTTTCTCGTGCTGTGCTCTGTGGTCAGCTTTAGAGGATTTGCGGTGGCATTACATTTAATATAAGTAGTGCCTGGCCGTGGGCCATGTGACAAATATGCTAACAAGTTTTGCCAGAGTCAAGGAAAAAAGAACTTCCCCCCCTCAGCCAAAGGAAATCAAGCGAACTGCAGTTGGCAGCGTGACGCGTGTGAATTTCAAATTTGAATTTGAAATGTGAATTTGTAACAATGATGCG